ATTTTATTTTATTTTATTTTATTTTTTTCCTTTTTGTCTTTTTTCGTGTCCGGCAATGGATCGCAACCCTCAGTGTCGCACCCGTACCGGACCAGGACCAGCAACGGGATCGCAACCCTCAGTGTTGCACCCGCACCTCGCTCAGCCAGTGAGCGGGAACCGGTCTGTATGTGGGATCCAAACCCTCGGCGGGAGCGCTACCGCACTCCCAAGCAGCACACTGTAGCAGTGCGCCACCAGGCCAGCCCCTTATTTTATTATTTTTTTGTGACCGGCCGCACCGCGCTCAGCCAGTGAGCAGACCAGCCATTCCTATGTAGGATCCGAACCCACGGCGGGAGCGCCGCTGCACTCCCAGCGCCACACTCTCCCGAGTGCGCCACGGGGTCAGCCCAGCAACATCTCTTATTAAATGCCTTTGTTTGATTCTGCATTTGGAGATCTGACCACATAGCATATTCTGTGGAATGAATAAAAATTATCAGAGCCTGGCATTTACTGGGCTTTCTACAATTCTCGGCCCCCTTCCCTTCCCTGACATCTCCCCTCTGCTTTTTACTGGGACACCGGAAGAATTAGTGCTGCATCCAGTCAGTGTGGCTGCTCCTCATGGCGAGGTACATACAGGAATGCAGAAAGCACTGGGGTCATGTGCTCTAATATCCTACAGAAAGAGAAGAGGAGAAAGAGGCAAAGATAAGTTACTCTGTGAGGGGCAGCCCACAGAGATCCTGTTAAGGGAACATCTGATCAGTTAGATTTCAAGTCCACTGTGCAGAAAAGTCCCTGCATGCTAATTGAAAAGTAACCTTGGAAACAAGAGCCTGCTATTGTGCTCTCCCTGGGCTGATACAGAAATGAGCTAGGACACACAAAGGCTAAGTCCAAAGCGGAGTTTCAACTGGTCCCAAGTTCCCTTATGTTTTGGCTTTTATTTTCAACATTTGTTGCATTAAATCTTTTGTGTGGTTCCTGGGTAAGCCATCTGAATGTATCAAAGTTCCAAAAAGTTGAATATGTGGCTTAATAGTTTCAGTGTCCTTTAATGGCTCTTGGAGAGAGGCTCTGAATTCTGAGAGTGATGGAACCATCTAAATCATTGTAAGATTAAGAAGCCAGTATCGTCTCCCTTTTCCACAGAACTGGAGGACTATGTTGGGGGAGGAAGGTCTGTCCCTTCACCAACTGTAGAAGTTATTACGTGCTTATGAGCAAAAATAATACATCGTGGTTCTCAGTGTCTGAAACTGAGGACTGGAATATTGTTTGATGCACAAAGCTTATACGCTCTTCACGATTCAGAGCAAATTCTCAAATTTCACCCCAGTAACATAATAGAAAATATTTAAGATACTTGGGTGGGGGGGTGAATGGTCAATTGCAAGAACTGTGAAATCATTTTCTATTTGACCTGAGAATCCTGATGGAGTCAGGCTGGTCTTCCTTAGGAAAAAAAAAAAACATTGCAAATTATATCTTCAGGAGACAAGATCTCTAGCCTGCTGAGTTTTTAGGACGTGTATTTTGAGTAAGAAAAGAATCTGTCATTTTCAGGGTAATTCTACACTTAATAGGGATTATATAAGTACTTTGAAAAATAGCTTGGTTGTTTCCTTCAACTGAAAACTACTATGGATTAAAACTTCCTGATTGTGACACTTCATAATACTCAGTTGTTTATGAAAATAAGGATGTGCTGTATTTGTTTGTACTCGGTATTGAAAATATATGAGCCTAAGCCACATTTCCATCACTCCCAATTTTTGTTTGCAATTGTTTAACTTGTGAATTAGCTTGTAATGGAATTAGCATATAATTCCTTATCATAGCTATACAGTTCTACTTGAGATTTTAAAAGCAAAATGGTATATATGCCGAGTTTGTTGTATATGTGTGTTTCTACCCTAGTTTTAAGCTTTGTGAGAATGTCATCTACGGGATCCTTTAATCTATTAAAACTGTTCCTTCTCTTGTCTGTCACCTTTTACTTCCATTTGAATTTGTTAGACCTTCCTATTGAGAACAAAGGTTGCACTTCACATAGCAGAGAAAATAAGAATAAGCATAGATCTTGTTGAGGAAGGATCTGGTTTTCGGTTGGTCCTATAACAATCCACACTGGATGAGCCATCTGATGGGTGCCGCACCTCATTACCTTCAGGTTTGGCAAACGTCCAGGTCACGTATGGTCCGTATTTGGGGGTCGGTTTGAGGCATGCATATTTGGAAAACGAGTTCCAGAGAGTGTCAGTATCTCTCTATTGAGCTACTCAGCAAGGTTAAAAAACATCTAATAACTACTGAATATTTTTCACCTCTCTCTCTCTCACTGGGGGTTTTGGTTTCCAGTGTCCTCAAAGAGTTAATCCTCATAAATTGGACCACTTTTTTCTTGTGATTCTAAACTGGCCCAGGTCCAGTTTCATTCCTAGCGTGAGCCTTGGACATGAAGTTGTGAATGTGGCTCTGCTTGTCCCCGAGTCGGCAGCAGAGCTCCTGGCCATGCAGATTCTACTGGCCCAGCTGAGCAGCTAAGTCATGTTGCGTGTTCCCGAGGCAGATCTCCCCTCGGTCCCAGGTCCTCCTGAGCAGACTGATGATGCACAGGTGTGCCCTCTGGGGTCCCTTGGTGAGTCTTGAACCCCAGTCCCTCCTTGGCAGCAGGTTCTGGGTCCCTCTGGCAAAGTCGCAGCCAGGGCCTCAGTCTCCCTGCAGTGCTCTCCACCTTCTGTCTCCCACAGGGTCCTGTCGCATCCACGGCGTCAGTGTTTTCTGTCCTCTCCTCTGGGCCTGGCCTTCCTCCACCCCCCCCTCCTCCGCCTCCTCCAGGGCCACCTCCACTTTTTGAAAATGAAGGCGGAAAAGAGGAGTCCTCTCCTTCACGCTCAGCTTTATTTGCCCAGCTTAACCAGGGAGAAGCAATTACAAAAGGTGAGAAAACAAGACCCTCAAGCCAGTCTCCCTTTCTGTCGGGCTCCTGGCGCACAGATGCCCCAGTCTCGGTGACAGATGCATCGTCCCCATCCCCGACCCACAGGGAGGGGGAGCTGTAGCTCAGTAAGGCAGGAGCCTGCAGTGTTCAGGGGACATGTCCACATTGTTCTCTACAACCAAGGCATCAAGATCCCATGAAATAAAAATGGCCAACAATAGCACTTCTGTCCTGAAGCCGTGCACAGGCTTGTCAAAGAATAACATCATTGATCTACTTTTGGCCTCATGGTGAATGGATAACTAAAAAAAAAAAAAATCATACAACATTTAAACTATATCAGGATCAGGAGCACAAGCATTCTAAACAATAAAGCCATGTTGCCAAAATCTTTATGCTTTGCCCAGGTAATAGGACTGAGGGTGTAGTGTCCCTCTATACTAGGCTGGGAGGCAAGAACCCAAAATTCTAAATTTTTCTCTGGCTCCAACTGGCTACACTATCCCCTCTGAACCTCCTCTACAAAGTAAAGGAATGGACTCATATCTTAAAGTTGATTCCATATTCTGATATATATATATATATATATATATATATATATACACACACTGGAATGCCTAATCGTTTAGGCTGTGTCTGACAATGACTTAGCCATGTGAGATAGTTTGTTTTATCCATAAGAGAAGTAAGCCTTTTTGTTGAGGTGGTTTGTTTTTTGAAGACATTTTTTATCTATCATCTTACCTCCTTAAAGAA